GCAGGTGCGCAACCGTTGTCGCAGAAGTTCGAAAAAGTTGCTCGCAAAAGCCCGTTTGACAGAAATGTTTAAAAAGTGTTGGGTTTCCTACGAATCCGCAAGAGCGCGCGGGATGAGATTTTGACAATTGTTTGTTGAAAAACCATTGGTTTTTTGATGTTTTTATGTTAAAATCGCTGCGAACACTAAGGTTTTGGAAGGATTTCGTCTTGCGCGCGCGAATGTCCACTTTACCTTATTTTTTGCAAGGGATTCTTGAAATTTGATTATATTAGAACAAGAAATGTCATTTTCTATTGTTTTTTGCAAGGGAAAGCGGATTACAACAAAACAACCGGATCCTGTACACACCCTCTTTTCTGAGGCTTCCTCACGAAAATGATGAAAATGTAGCTGCGGCCTAGGCGGCGCAGGGGGGGCGCGCACCAGGGGGCCCAACAATAATTATTCTTTAGAATAAATAATGTTCAACCACGACGACGACGACGAACACGACGACGACGACGACGACGACGACGACGACGACGACATCGGCGACGACGAGGCCGCGGGGTCGGATGCGGCCGTTCGCGGCCAGCCCGGACGCCTGAGGCTGCGCGCCATACCCCGGCACGTACCCCGCAGGGTGGAACGGATGCTGGAAGCCGGCAGCTGTAGGTGTCACCACCGAGCCTGAACAAAGCCCGTGGTGGGCACTGGACTCCTGGATACGGCTTGTTCGTCACGTGACGACCCTGGCGCCTGTTTCCGACACAGCGCGAGTCTTTCAACATTGAACGGTCGGCGGCTTTCCGATCGCCAGATCGTGCCATATTTGCCGATGCTAGACCACTGGCGGCGTTCAACCTTGAACGCCCGCGGCGGGGTCGCCGCCGCGCTGGCACGCCACAAACTAGCCGTGCACCAGACACGCTCCTTGCAATCTCACGCCGGCTGGTGAGCCCATCTCGAACCGCACGGATGCACTCATGTGCCACTAAGGGGGGGAGGCTCAAGTGGGTCGATGGCCGCGTGAACCGTTTTGGCCCTCTTTGGCCCGAGAGTGGAATGTCAAGGCCCTCGTGCAAGTGAAGGTCAGAAGGGTCTATAAGCACCAGTCCCAGGGAACATGATGGGCCTCCCAAGTGACCGACGTCTCTACAAGTGTCCCCCAGTGAGGGACCCGACGACGTAGTGCAGTTCACCAGCATGGAACAATCACGAGCAGCGCTCCGACACAAACTTCATCGAAATCATTGAACCCAGATGTGTTGGAGAGGGTCCGCTGTCCCGAGGCTGGGTAGTTGTCCCCGCTCCCTCGCCCATGACTCCCGAAGTCGGGACGGGCGCTCCTCAAAACTGGCCCCGAGACCTCCTGTTGGAACGCTTGCCGACCAGGATTCTGGCACGAACCCAGCCGTGGGGACCGAGGGCCAGGCCCGCCCCCGGGTAGGAGTTCAAATGCCGTGGCGCGCCCAGATGTCCAGGCGCCCACGGCTGCTGCAGTGCAGGGGCCTCCTCCTCCTCCTCCCCCCTCCTCCTCCCAGCTCCTCGTCCTCCTCCTTCTCCTCCTCCTCCTCCTCCTCCTCCTCCTGCTCCTCGTTCTCCTCCTCCTGCTCTTCCTCCTCATCCTTCTCCTCCTGCTCCACCTCCTCATCCTCTTCAACACCCGCGGCGCCTAGATGTCCTGGCGGCCATGGCTACTGCAGGAGCAAGGAAGGAGAACACCAATACCACCATGGTCTGGAGGCAGATCGACCGTGGAGGTCGGTGTGGTTGGTGTGGTGTCCCTGCTTTTTGTCGCGCCCCGCTGGAGACATCATCTCCAATCTTAAGCTCAAGCGGGGGGGGCCTCGTGGACCTCACAAATGCAAGCCTACTCATAACACTAATATCACTTCTCCTCACCCTTATTGAAAATCTGCACGTCGCGATGACGTCGGCGCTGGCTTCTGACACCGCGTGGAAGTCGCTGGACCGTTGAACGACCACGAACCACCACCTCGAGAGAACCTGGATCGTCGAACGTCGGCCGACTCGGCGCTCCACCCTGGACGTCCGCGCCCGGGTCGCACGCCGCGTATGATGGGCCTGTTTTCCACCACCACCACAAGTTGGAGGAGGGAGGGAAGTGGAGGACGAAGAGGAGGAAGAAGAGGAGGACCCCCTCCTCCTCCCAGCTATGGTGGTGTCGGTGGAAAACATGCCCACCGGCATAAGTTGGCGTGAGGTTCTGGATCCAGGAGCCCGCTCTTCATCGGGCGCCATCGCTTCACAATCCAAGGGCCCGGGGAGGGCCTCAAACATCCGACGACGTCACCTTCTCAGTACGCGGCCCCAGTAGAGTCCCGGCTCCCTTTCTCCTGGGGGTGGTCCATCCCTGATGGCCCGGAGGGGGCCCAAACACAGCCCTGGGGGCCGAAATCCGCCGATCCCCGCTGGCCCGGGGCGCAAAGGAGTATGAGATGATCGGCTGTCCCCATCATCTGGGGCCTGACACCCGATCACCCACTGGCCATCGCTCGAACGTCCCTTTCCTGTGTTTTTCTTGGTTTCGTGCGTGTTTTTTTCGCCAGATGGTCGAGGATGCTCCTCGAAGGTCCTCGCCGAGAAAAAATGCACACGTCCGAGCGATGCCAAGCCCAACAGACTCCAAAGAGGCTCCTAGAGGCCCCCAAGAGGTCCAAAGGATGGCCCACGAGGCCCCCCAAACGGCTCCCAAAGAGGCCTCACCCGTGGACTTTTCGCTTCTCCCCTGGCGGTCGGTGGCATGGCGCAGGCCACTTCCAATCCAGGAGCAGGCACCGGCTCACCAAATCAGATCGTCGGAGATCTGGGCCTGCCGCACGCCTCTCCTGGCCACGCGACACGACAGCTGCCGGCTTCCGAGGATAGGTGCTCATCGCGGCCAAGGGGAGCGGGCACCGCTCGGGCAGTGCCAACGGGGGGGGGGTCACCACTCTGGGGTCGCCGCCTCCTCCAGGACTCGGGCCCCCGCGGACCCCGTGGACCGCCTGGGCCCCAGCCAGGCCTCCCACGGACGACCCCACGGCCCTCGACCCTCCATCCCGACCCTCGATCGACCCTCGAGCCCCCCTGCCTCCTCGATCCCTCGATCCCTCCCTCGAGCTCGACCCTCGATCCCTTCCGAAAGGTCCGGCAACCTCCTCGCCCCTGGATGCTCCCCCCCCGCCTCCTCTCGGGTCGGGCGAAAGGGGGGGATAGCAAAGGGGGGGTTTGAGAATCAGCTCACGTAGCTGATTTTCCCGGCGCCTCCCGGCGCCGGAGGCGGCCATGTATCGAGGAATGGGCCCCTCGGTGAGGCCGAAACCAGCTGCATGCAGCAAATTTCGTAACCCCCGCTTTCCCAATCCCCCCTTTTCGCCCGGCCCGATCCTCGAGCCTCGCTCTGACATCCGATGTCCCGAACTCTGCCAGACCCGGGGGGGTCCCCCGAGGTCCCGACCCCCTCCCCAGGGGCCGGCTCTGCAGCCCCGGGGCGTCTTCGGACGGCCCCGCGAGGGCCCCCCGGAGGCCGGGCACGGCGGACGAGGCCCCTGCGGCGTGCTCCGCTGCCACGGCGCGAGCACGCCGCAGGGGCCGCGGCTCCCCCGGAGCGGCGATGGCCGCTGGCACTGCCCGAGCCGCGGGCGCCACGGGGACGCGGGGGGAAAGAAGCCGGCCAGGCCCGCGGGGCCCGCGGGGCCCTGCTCGGGGCTGGCGCTGCAGGAGGGGGGAGGGAGGGGGGAGGGATCGCGAGCGGCGAGCCTGTGCACACATCTCCGCGCCTTCGCGGTCGGGACTCCGGGGCGTGGTCCTGCGGATGCGCGGTCGTACGGGCACGTCTCGCGCAGGCCATCCCTCGAAGAAGAAGAAGAAGAAGAAGCCCCGTATCCGCGGGGTCGCGGCCCAAGGGCCATGCCCGCTAGGCCGCGGATGCTGACATGTGTTCGCCCACGAGGGGAGGGAAGCCGAGGGGGATGTGCAGGTCCTTGCCATCACCGCAACACTGATACTCTGAGCCCCAGCAGGCTTCTCCGCTGTTCTTTTCCTCGTCGCCCCAGCTGCGCCACTCATGGTCTGCACTAGGGTAGCGATACTGCTTATCTGATGTCGTCGAACGCTCTCCGAGTTTTTGCTTACGGACAGCGTGCAAAAGCTGCGAGTTCCGTCGCTTAGAGTCTGGCCAACTTGAAAAGGAGGAGGAAGAAGATGAGGATAGGGATACGGATAGGGATATAGGGATAGGGATAGGGATAGGGATAGGGATAGGGATAGGGATAGGGATAGGGATAGGGATACGGAGGAGGAGGAGGAGGAGGAGGAGGAGGAGGAGGAGGAGGAGAAGGACGACGACGACAACGACGTTGGCGTCCTCGCACTGCCCGAAGCGCGGGCAGCCCGGGGCCGTCCGTAAACGACCCGGGATGAAAAGCCGACCGTGGGGAAAGGGTCGGGCCTTCTGTGGACTCCGCATTGACAATTCATGATACCGGGTGTCTGGGTACATGGCTACCGCGAGCGGTGTCTTCTATGCCCCCCTGGCTTGGCCAAGGCGGCGTATGCACCCTTCCTGGGCCCAGGATGGTCTGGCTGGGGGCGGTGGACATAGATCTCGCCGCCCGGCAAAGACGGCCGACGGCCCGATCTCTTCGGGCCCCCAGCCCCCAGCAGCGCCGATCAGGCTGAGCCAGGCTGGACGATCCGAGCACCCTGCGATGCTGGCGTCGCGTTTTCTCGGCGGTGGACAAACCTCCCTTCAGTAAACCTCCCCTTAGTGAAAACGGCCCAGGACCGACACCGACGGACCTGGACCCACAAAAATGACGGCCGCGACGCCCCCTCGCGAACCGAAGACGGCCAATGCCTTAATCGACGTGTCAGGGTAGGAGGTCTGTCCACTCCCGAGCACTGCCCTCGACTCCTCGACTCCTCAAGTCCTCGGCACTGCCCAAATGCAATCCTCGACTCCTCGACGCCTCGATTCCTCAAATCCTCGATCCTCAAATTCCTCAGATGCCTCAGATCTTCATGCTGCCCGATGCCGGCTGGCCGATGCTGCTTCGTGCCGTCCTCGCGGCCCAGGGCCTCCACGGGTCCACCCGGCGGAGGAGCCCGGCGCTCGGCCGCCTCGGCAGCCTCCACGGTTGGCGGCGGCTCCATGGCCGAGGGCTATGCTGTTCCCATCCTACAGTCGGGGCGTTGACCTAAGGAACCCTAAGTAAGGAACGAGGCCCCTTTATCCCATAAGCTAAACCTCGATTTCCCAGCGAAGCCCTAAGCAAACCAAAGGCGAACTACAAAACAACTAAGGAACACCGAGCCCCTGCCCAACGAAAAGGGTTCCTTCCTCAGCGCCCCGACTGTATGTTGTTCCCATCATACTCCAAGACCAAATCCCAGAAATAATTTCGAGCACCCGGAAAAGTGTCGAACGAGTGTCGAAACAGTATCGAAACAGTGTCGGGCGAGTGCCTCCCAGGGCCCGACACGTGAAAACCCTTGAGATTCGGTACTTTTCTGTGCGCTCGAACTTATATTTCTGGTGCTCAAACTAAAAATAGGCTGGAGCATCCTTAGCCGAGGGCCCGTCCGGGCGGAGCGCCGCCGCACCCACCCGGCTGCGCAACACCTGCTGGAGGCGTGGGTGTCGCTGGCGGCTGCGGCTTCGCCCCCGAGGCGCACTCGCTGCCGCAGCAGAACTGGACCTCGAGGCTCCTCTGCTGACTACCTACCAGACCACCCCAACCCAACCCGAAGACCCGAATTTCGGGTTGGGGGGGGTACCGGTTCCATATGTATTTTTTCAATGTTCCCCGACCCCCCCCCCACTGGAAATGGAGGGCAAATCGGGGTCTTCGGGTTGGGTTGGGGTGGGTTGGTGGGTGGTGATCTGCTCGGCGGGCGCCTCTTCCTCCGGTGGGGCGTCTTCTGCCTCCTCCTCTCATTCTCCTGGCCCTCTCCTGGCTGCCGGGCCAGGGGGATATGTGAAGCCGACGCCGTGAAGCTGCAGTGCAGGTGCTCACAACGACGCATCGAGCCATCACAGTCCTGGGACCACAGCAGTCGCCACCGTACACTCGAGCGAGTAGACGTGGCGCACCTCCTCAAGGCCGCTCCAAGCAACGCTCCCTCGGCACCGCTCGGAGCGGGCGAGCTATGGCCCTGCTGGCCTCTGGCAGGCCTTGAGCAAAAGATCAACGGAAAAAGAGAAAAAAAAGAGAGCAGGAGAGAGACTGCGCAAGCGTACAAGACCCTCAGGCATGACTCGCGCCCAAAAGTCACAAGAGGCCCCCTAGGGCCAGGAGGAGGAGCAGGAGGAGCAGGAGGAGCAGGAGAAGGAGGAGGAAGAGGAGGAGGAGGCGGAGGAGGAGGAAGAGGAGGAAGCGGCGATCGGCGGCGACGGCGGCGACGATCCACTCGCCTAGGGCCTGCCTGGCGAGGTTGCGCGCGCCACCTGGGCGCCGGAGGCGTCCGCGCCCAGGCCCGGGCCGCCGCCGCCACTGCCTGGCGCGCCAGGGGGGCAGCGCGCCGCGCGGCCACGGAGAAGGTCCTCCTGCAACGCATTCTCGTCCAACTCCTTGGTGGTGTCTTCCACCGCCTCCGTCTCCGCCTGCTCCTGCTCTCCCGCCTCCGCCACAGACTTCTCCGCCTTCCACGGGGGTCTCCCTCGTTCTACTTGTCCTCCACATCCTCCTCCTCCTCCTCCTCCTCCTCCTCCTCCTCCTCCTCCTCCTCCTACTACTCCTACTCCTCCTCCTCCTCCTTCTCCGCCGCCTCCTCATCATCCTCCCCCTTCTCCTCCTCCTTCTGAGGTCCCATCATCCGCGTACCGAGGTCCTCCCCTCTTTCTCCGCCTCCTCCTCCTTCTGGGGTCCTCCTCCTCCTCTTCGTCCTCCTCCTCCTCCTCCTCCTCCTCCTCCTCATATTCACAATCATCGTCACCATCAACAGCATCGTCATCATCCTCCTCCCCATCATCAGCATCATCATCATCACCATCATCAGCACCATCACCATCATCAAAATCAGCATCACCAACATCATGAGCATCATCATCAGCAACATCATCATCTTCCTCATCATCATGATCCTCATCAGCAGCAGCATCAGCATCATCTTCCTCATCATCATCCTGATCATCATCACCATCAGCAGCAGTACCGTCATAGTCCTCGTCCTCGTCGTCGTCGTCATCATCCTCATCATCACGATCAGCAGCAGCAGCGGCATCATCACCAGCAGCATCAACAGCATGAGCTTCAGCATTGGCGTCATCATCATCATCATCAGCAGCATCATCGTCGGCATCAGCATCATCATCGTCATCCCCATCGTCGTCGTCAGCATCGTCATCACCGTCATCATGAGCAGCATCATCATCATCATAATCAGCAGCATCATCATCACCATCATCATCACCATCACCATCATCCCCATCATCATCTCGGCGTCGTCATCAGCATCACCATCATCGTCACCAGCATCATCGTCAGTATCATCATCACCATCGTCGTCGTCGTGGTCGTCACCATTATCATCGCCAACATCATCATCATCATCAACATCATCATCTTCACCAGCATCACTATCATCATCATCGGCATCATCATCATCATCATCAACATCATCATCATCATCATCATCATCACCATCATCATCACCATCATCGTCACCATCACTATTACCATCCGCGTCATCATCATGATCCTCCTTCTCCCCTACCTCCGCCGCCACCGCCGCCTCCTGCTCCCACGACGACGACGACGAGGCCCGTGCTGGGACGCGTTCGCACGACAGGTTCGAGGCGGACCCAGCCATGGCCATGAGGGCGCCCCGGGAGGCTCAAGAAACGCTCGGGCGCGGCCTGAAATCTCGATCCTCGACCGCGGACAACGACGACGATGGCGGCGGCGACAACAACGAGAGAGGGAGGGAGGGAGGGTGATAGGTGAGCAGGGGGAGAGAGGAGAGAGGGCAAGCTAGGTGCCCTCGCGCCATATCCGATATCCTACCCGTCCCGCCCATCCTCGCTCATTGCGCTGATTTGTCTCCTTCCGCAGACGCGTGCCATAGCTGAGATGGAACTCAAACAAGGACACCATCGTGTCATGCGTTATTGGAAAATGGGGCTGCGTCCATTGGAGGAGGCGCGAATGAGCAGGAGGACAAGCAGGAGGAAGAGGACGAGGAAGCAGGAGGACAAGGAAGAACAGCAGCAGCAGCAGCAGGAACTGGAGCGGAGGAAGCGGGAGGCGTAGGATAACCAGTGGGAGGAGGAGAAGGGGGAAGAGGAGTGGTGCGACAACGATGGAGGACTCGCCTCCAGAGCACGGGAACGAGGAGGAGGAGGAGGCGGAGGAGGAGAAGGAGGAGGCGGAGGAGAAGGAGGGGGAGGAGGGAGGCGGAGTAGGAGGACGAGGAGGAGGAGGAGGAGGAAGAGGAAAAGGAGGAGGCGGAGGAGGAGGAGGAGGAGGCGGACGAGGCGGAGGAGGAGGGGGGAAGAGGAGGAGGAAAAGGAGGGAGGTCGAGGGCAGCAGGCCCCCCGGAGGCGTTCAAAAGAAAGCGGGCGGCGCGCCGCCGCCGTGCAGGCCGGCGTCGGACGCCGCGCTCGTGAGGCTGGCGCGTGGCGCGGGGCCTGCGACGGCCGAGGGCGCAGAGGGGGGGGGAGGGAAGTGGGGAGGGGGGCGAGGGACGGGGAGGTACGGGAGAGGAGAGGAGGGAAGAGGAGGAGGGAGGGACCTCCTGGGATCCTCCCTGAACGCCTGACCCCGCCCCCCAAAATGTTTCCCTCTGTCCTACTACTCCCCCTCCTGCGCCCTCCTCCCCCTCGCAATACCCATAACTCCAGACGTAGATATGCGGATCTATATATACATACATACATATATATGGATACATCTATACATGTATGTGTATACATGTATACACATGTATGTATGTGTACATATGTCTGTATACATATGTATATACATGTGTGTGTGTGTGTGTCACCCTCCTCCCATTCCCGTCCCTCCAACCCTCCCTTCCTCCCTCTATGCGTAGCCATTTTGGCTCGAGACCCCCGACCCGAGCGGCGTGAAGAACTCGGGCGGCTGGGGCGGGCGCCAGGCGATGGCGCTGCAGTCGCCATGGCCGCCGAGAGGCCCGACGCGCAGGGCGCTGGCAGCATCTGATCTGTTGCTCTACGACGGAGCCCCTGACCGTACGCGCACGAGTGGCAGCTGCGGACCCAGAGATCCAGAATATTGAAAAAATCAAGACGCAGGTGTTTTTGCTATGTTCGGCCTCTAGGGGCCCTCGCCGGGCCCTGGGACCGTCAAAAGACGACTCAGGATGAAACACCCCGGAAAGAGGGTCGGGACTTCCCGGGACCCCGTATTGGAAAAAAAACATCGGATCTCTGGGGATCGCGGCACGGCACGGTGAACATCCTGCGTCGAGCTCTGAGGCCTGACCTGCCGCGGACCCTGTGGCCACGACCAGCACGGCAGAGGCTGGATCTGGGCCTGGAGGTCCGCGCGCTGCTGTCGGGAGAGAGCATCGAGTCGACGGCGGCATGGCGCTTCTGGAGCCGCGCGAGGGCGACGCCCGAGGTGGCGCAGGCAAGTGCGGTGCAAAGGAGCCTCCCCGCGGCGACCTGGGCGCACTCGTGGAGTCGGAGGAGGAATGGTGCCCAGGCGGCGAGTGGTGGCCGTGTGGGCTGCCAGATGTTCGGGCTTTCCCGTAGCTGGTCGCAGAGCCGCCGCAGGCGGAGCACGACGAGTCGGATCAAGGCCGCGGATGAGCCAGGCACGGAGTGCGCCGTTGCGTGCGCAGAGGGGCCGGCGGCTGCCGCCCTGGCGATCGAGAAGATCGTGGTGCTGCCGCTGGCACACGTCGTGGATGAGGTGACGGAGGCGGCAGCCCGCGAGATCAAGAAGGTCGTGGATTGGGGGGCGGAAAGATACGGATACGTGTTGTCCCCGGACCTCTCTTGGGGTGCGTTCTGACCAGAATTTCGAGGCGAATCCAGCGGCGGCAACGAGGATTCCCCAGGAGGACCAGGAAAGGCCGAAGACGAAGGGGGACAACACGTATCCGTATCTTTTTGTCCCCCGAGTGGAGTTGCCGAAGTGTGACGACGACGAGGACGAAGTTCTGGCGGAGGCCGCCCGAGCGATGGTGCAGGCCATGGGGCAGCCGCACGCCGAGGGCGTCGGGAGCAGGCTCGAGGCGGTGTGCGCGCCGGGGCTCGGCGCCCCTGGCGTCAGAGGAGAGTAAAGGCGCCAGGGGACACACGAATAAATGCGCACAAATCCAATGATTCCCCCAATTTTCCATATTTTCTGGGTTTCCGACTCTCCCCCCCTCTTCCCATGTTTTCCTGGGAATCGACGATTCCTTGTGTCGGTGTGTCTTCCCCCCTCCTGGGAGATGCAGGCCGCGAGGGAGCGCGACGCGGCGGTCGAGCGGGCACCCGAGCTGGCGGAGCGGCCCGTGGATGCTGCCGGCGCTGCGGCGTGGGCTGCCAGGACGTATGCCGACCTGACGCTGCAGTCGAGGATGTATGAAGGGGCCCTGGGACACACGAATAAATACACACAAATAAAACTACTCCCCATATGTTCGCATATTTTCCAGGTTTCTGTCTTCCCCCCCAATTCCCACATTTTCCCATACGTTCTGAGGAATCGACGATTAATTGTGTCTGTGTGTTTTTCCCCTCCTGAATGTAGTAGTAGTCAAGCCCTGCGCTCGAACGGCGCATTGGCAAATAAAAAGTTAGCACAACGCACTGTCGCTAGACAGCTGGTGCGATACGACATTACGTGAAAACGCATCGGTTCCACCTGTGAGGACAAGCGGGGAGGAGGAGGAGGGGGAGGAGGATGAGGATCGGCAAAACGCCCAGGGTGACCGAGGAGGCGCCGCAGGTAGAGTCCGTCGGCATGGTCATGGAAGAGCTGCAGGCCGACCAGCCATCGGTCGGCGACCACCCCTGGGCTCCCTTGGCTCCCGCCTGGGCGGTCGCAGCCTGAGGGAGGCCGAGGTCGGTGAGCAGAGCTCTGGTTAGGAAAGCGCGAAAGACGAGTCCGACGGCGAGGAGGCCGAGGAGCCGCTGCAGACAGAGTCCGCCAGCAAGACCGACGAGGTGCCCACGGTCACGACTAGGGGCAAGCAGGTCCAGAAGCTCGTGAAGAGGCGCGCGCAGGGTCAGAGCGGCGGAGGCCGAGGGGTTCGGGCCGGGCGAATGCGGGCGGGCGCGCCCCGAAAGAGCTGGAGGCCTCCCGCCTCAACGGGGTGCAACACGAGGCGAGTCTGGGAGAAGAAACAGAGGATACCAGTGCTGCTACTGCCCAGACCTCTCCCAGGGTGTTGTCTGACCACAGAAAAGATCAATGACATTCAAGCCGTGGCGACTCTGACGAGCAGCGGCATTTGGATACCTCCTCGATGGTGTCAGGGTGGATGGGACCGGACGATCGCACCGCATCACAGATGCATCGCCGATGAATCGGCGATGCATCGGCGATGCATCGGCAACGTCGGCGATGCATCGGTGCCATCGGCGTGGAAACATTATGGCTCCACATCGCGCGGCATCGCCGATGCATCGGCGATGCGGAGCGATCCTCCGAACTCATCAACTCCGACCCCACTCCAAGGCCTAGTTGGAGACGGCCGCCTCGCTGCGCCGTGGGATGCGCCCGTAGTCCCGTGTTGGTGGATGCTCCGCGAGGCCCGGGCCATCGCGCTCACGCGCGGCCAGTGCTCGGCAGGTCCTGCAAAGCCCCGCAAAGCCAGGGGGTGCATTGACCCGGGCTTGGGCGCAGGATTTTGCGGGATCCTGCAGGAGAATCTCACGGGATCCTGCAAATGAACGGGCCCTGGGACACACAAATAAATACACACAAATAACTGGATTCCCGATATTTTCCCATAGTTTCTGGGTTTTTGTCTTTCCCCCCAATTCCCATGCTTTCCTATATTTTCCTGGGAGTCGACGATTAATTGTGTTTGTGTGTTATTCCCCTCCTGAGCAAAGCCTGCTTGGCCCAGGCCTGGATTGACCCGGGGCAGCAGATCCCCGAAGAGTGGCCCCTCGCCGGACGGGCCTCCCCTGGCGCGCGGGCGTCGGGGGGCGCGGGGGGGGGCCGCGCCCGAGCGCGCAGAGGCCGCAAGTGTCCAACCGCGCGCAGGTCGGCGACGCGTACGAGCGGCACTTCGCCGCGGCCACCTTTGGCGCGGGCCCATTGGGGCCCCGCGATCGCCGGGCGCGATGCCATAGTACAGGGCAGCGTTTTGTTATATTTTTTAAAAAAAGAAGAAAACATCGGATTTTGAATACATGATTAATGCAACAATGAATTCATGCATGAGCTCATCGTTGCTTCTAATACTAAAACCCTGCATTTTTATGCATGATCCGCACGCGGAGCATGTATCAAAAACGGCACTGTAAGAGCGGCCCTTCGCCGCAGCCACCTTTGGCACGGGCCCATTGGGGCCCCCCGATCTCCGAGCGCGGTGCCATAGTACTGCGTCATGCGAACTCGTGGTTGGCCCCCCCGCGGCCCCCGCAGCGCCGCGCACCAAATGCCACTTGTGCCCAGGGTCGCCCTTGCGTGCAGCCGAGCAGGGGCCGCCAGCGTGCGCGCCAGAGGTCACTCCGGCATTGCTCGTCCGTCTGCTTCCTTTTCGCCTTCTGGGTGCCCGCGGCCTGGGATGAGTCACGCGCGCGCAGGGCTGCCCGGCGAGGGTTCGACGAGGACTCGTCGGGCACATTGTCTGTTTCAGGGAGGCTGCTCACCGTGCGCGGCCTCCAGTCAGGCGAAACCGTTCGCCCCCTCAGCCCCACCTGCAGGAAAACACAAAAAGAGAAGCGCAGTCACGCCCCGCTCCGTCATCAGACGTGCAACGTCGTGGTGCTGTCCGCCCCCCTCCAAAAAAAGAGCACCATGTTGGGGGTCCTTCATTGCGTTGGGCACCACGACGAGGCACCAGGGATGGCCAGGTAGGAGGCAAGCTGACACGCAGGAGGGGGCGAGGGGAGAGGAAGGAGACAAGCGGAGGGGGCGGGAGGAGGGAGGTGCGCGACCGCAGTGCTCTGTTCAAAACGAGAACCCAGCGCAAGAGGGTTGGAACAAATAAAAAATCACCATGCCTGGGGTCACTCATTGCGTTGCACCCCTAGGGGGGGCCTCGCGCCGCGCGGCCGCGCCTCGGCTGCAGCCTCCTCGCAGGCTTCGAAGGTTGAGCCCCGCCCGACCGAGAGGGGCGGCGCCCCGGCGGGCAGCGGCCCCCGCGCCGATGCGCCTCGTGCTTCGCAGGAGGGCAGGACGTATCTGACGTACCAATAATCGAGGAGGAGAGAAAACGCCATAAAAATACACTTTTGGCGCTCCGCGCGGATGTCTCGGATGCGCGCTGGAACCTCCTGTCGGCGCTGCCGCGTCGCGGCTGCGCCCTATGGGGCGGCCGCAGCGCCGCCGGCCACGCCTGCGAGCGCCAAACCTTCTGACGCCAGACGCGCGACTGCGAGACTCACGGCCGCCGGCCCCTCGCCGAAGCCTCGGGCCGGCCCCTCGGGCGCCAGGAGGCCCGCAGCGCGAGCGGCAGGCCTCGCGCTCGCCGAACCGCCCAGGCAGCTCTCGC